CTTCGGGAGGCCAAGGTGGGCAGATCACTTGAGGTCAGGAGTTTGATGCCAGCCTGGCCAACATGGCAAAACCCCTACTCTACTAAAAATATAAAAATTAGCCAGGAGTGGTGGCCGGCGCCTATAATCCCAGCTACTCGGGAGGCTGAGGCAGGAGAGTCACTTGAACCCGGCAGGCGGAGGTTGCATGTGAGATTGCACCATTGCACTCCAGCCTGGGCAACAAGAGTGAAACTCAAAAGAATAAGGAGGAGCCGGGCGCGGTGGCTCACGCCTGTAATCCCAGCACTTTGGGAGGCCGAGGCGGGTGGATCACGAGGTCAAGAGATCGAGACCATCCTGGTCAACATGGTGAAACCCCGTCTCTNTTTTTTTCCTTCTTCTTTTGAGACAGTCATGCTCCATTGCCAGGTGCCAGGCTGGAGTGCAATGGCACGATCTTGGCTCACTGCAACCTCCGCCTCCCAGGTTCAAGCAATTCTCCTGCCTCAGCCTCCTATAATTTTTGTATTTTTAGTAGAGGTGGGGTTTGCCATGTTGGCCAGTTTCTAAATCCTGATCTCAGGTGATCCTCAGGTGATTCTCGAAGAGGGTGTGGAATAGGGGAGAATTTTGTTTTTTGTTTTGTTTCATCTTGTTTAGAGACAAGGTGTCACTCTGGTGCTCAGGCTGGAGTGCAGCGGTGCAGTGTGACCCGCCTCTGCCTCCCGGAGTTCCGGGATTACCGCAGGCATGAGCCACAGCACCCAGCCAAAAATTAACTACTTTGAAGGTGAACAGTTCATCAGCTTTCAGTATATTCAGTTTTGTTCAACCACCCCTTGGTTTAGCTCTAGAACATTCTCATCCCCCACAAAAGGAAACCCATCCCCATCGGCAGATACTCCCCATTCCCCTCCCCCAGCCCATGGCATCCACCAATCTGCTTCCTGTCTCTGTAGATTTGCTTGTGGCCTTCTGTGTCTGGCTTCTCTCACTTAGCATCATGTTTTGGGGTTTCACCCACATTGTAGCGTGCATCAGTGCTTTGTTCTTTTTCATGGCTGCATAGTATTCCACTGTGTGGACGTATCCTAGCCTTCATTCATCTGCTGATGGACAGTCGGGTTGTGTCTGCCTTTTTGTTGTGTGCTGCTGTGGACACGGGCACATGAGTATCTGTTTGAGTCCCTGTTTTCCATTGTCAGGCACACAGCCTAGCGGACTTGCTGGGTCATGGTGACTGTATGTTCACGGCCATCAGGGCTGTGTGAGGACAGTGGACAAACAGGCATGGGGGCCAGGGATCGCTGGGGATGTGTCGGCAGGAGACGGCAGTGCCTGGACTGGGGTGAGGGTGGCATGGTTCAAAGAGGTAGGATCCTTGATGGGGGTGGGGGGGGTCCCTGTGCAACTCAACTGCAGAATGGGCCAGGCCAAGTTGAAACTTGTCACAGAGGTGGTGTTTGGGGGCATCTGGGGGCAGCTGGGTTCCAGGGCATGTCACTGAGGCAGGGGACAGGAAGCCCCAGATGGAGGCTGGGGGTTTGTCTTGGGGGGTCTGCAGAGAGGCAGTGGTCAGTGAGCAGGGAGCAACCCCCAGAGAGTTCCAGGTTAGTGTGGGCAGGGCCCAGCGTGGCCCCCCGCCCTTTTTTTTTTTTTTTTTGAGACAGGGTCTGGCTGTGTTGCCCAGGCTGGAGTGCAGCGGCAAGATCTCAGCTCATGCAACCGCCTCTGCCTCCAGGACTCAGGTGATCCTCCTGCCTCAGCCTCCCGAGTAGCTGGGACTACATGCATGTGACACCTCAACTGGCTAATTTTTATATTTTTTTTTGCAGAGGGAGGGTCTCAACATGTTGTCCAGGCTGGTCTCGAACCCCTGAACTCAAGCAGCTCTCCTGCCTCGGCCTCTTAAAAAGCTGGGATTACAGGCATGAGCCACCGTGCCCAGCCAGAGCATGGCCCTTGACTTTGGTGTCTGGCAGCCCCTGGGGATGTGGCTGAGGAGGGGAGAAGGGGGATGTGGTGGGGTAGGCTGGGGTGTCACCTGTCACCTGGGTGTGGTGGTCAGGTGCAGCAGGAGGCAGGAGAGGGGGAAGGTGAGGCAGGAGCCACTTGGTGGGAGACCCTGCGCTTGGTGGCATGGCAAGACTCGGTGGGCGGTCACCTCTGTCAGAGCCTGGGATTTGTAGGGAGGGGGCCCAGGACACCCACAAGGCAGGGGCCTGTTAAGACAAAGACAGAAAAGGGACAGGCGCAGTGGCTCATGCCTGTAATCCTGGCACTTTGGGAGGCTGAGGTGGGCAGATCATCTGAGGTCAGGAGATCACGATCAGCTTGGCAAACACAGTGAAACCCCATCTCTACTTAAAAAAAAATAGCCAGGCATGGTGGTGGGTGCCTATAATCCCAGCTACTCAGGAGGCTGAGGCAGGAGAATCACTTGAACCCAGGAGGTAGAGGTTACAGTGAGCCAAGATTCCACCACTGCACTCTAGCCTGGGTGACAGAGTGAGACTCCATCTCGTAAACAAACAAAAAACCACAGAAGGTAAAATGGGAAGGGGAGATGGGCTGGGCGAGGTGACTCATGCCTATAATTCCAGCACTTTGGGAGACCAAGGCAGGAGGATTGCTTGAGCCCAGGAGTTTGAGACCAGCCTGGGCAACATAGCAAGACTCTGTCTCTACGAAAGACATAAATACATTGCCGGGCGTGGTGGCTCACGCCTGTAATCTCAGCACTTTGAGAGGCCCAGGCAGGCCGATCACGAGGTCAGGAGATGGAGACCATCCTGGCCAACATGGTGAAACCCCATCTCTACTAAAAATACAAAAAAATTAGCTGGGCATGGTGGCACGTGCCTGTAACCCCAGCTACTCAGGAGGCTGAGGCAGGAGAATTGCTTGAACCCAGGAGGCAGAGGTTGCAGTGAGCCGCGATCACGCCACTGCACTCCAGCCTGGGCGACAGAGTGAGACTCTGCCTCTAAATAAATAAATAAATAAATAGGCCGGGCGCGGTGGCTCAAGCCTGTAATCCCAGCACTTTGGGAGGCCGAGGTGGGTGGATCACGAGGTCAAGAGATTGAGACCATCCTGGTCAACATGGTGAAACCCCGTCTCTACTAAAAAAAATACAAAAAATCAGCTGGGCATGGTGGTGCGTGCCTGTAATCCCAGCTACTCAGGAGGCTGAGGCAGGAGAATTGCCTGAACCCAGGAGGCGGAGGTTGCGGTGAGCCAAGATCGCGCCATTGCACTCCAGCCTGGGTAACATGAGTGAAACTCCGTCTCAAAAAAATAAATAAATAAATAAAAATAAGGAGGAGCTGTATGTATTCGGGGCATCTGGTGACAAGTGGCAAGCACACTTGAGGGGTGCGTGGGACTTTAGAGTTGGGCAGCCTGAGCAGGTGCAGAAGAGCCCTGCAGGTACTTAGGGGAACAGCATTTCAGGAGGAGGAACAGCCCTTACAAAGGCCCTGAGGCAGGACAGAGGCATGTTGGAAGAACAGGAGGAAAGCCCACGGGTGCAGGGAAACGGGACACTGTGAGGGCGGCCAGTGAGGACCTGGGCTTTTCCTGAGTGGGACAGGAGCCATGGAGGGCTGCGAGCAGAGGAGGAACAGGCCCGACAATGTCACAGCCTCCTCCTAGCCTCTGTGGGAAGCCAGGATACCAGACAGAACCCCCAGAAGGTTGGGTGGGGGCAAGGATGTGCAGGTGCAGAGAAGTGGCCAGATGCAGACACACGAACGTGGGGCCACCTGGCTGTGTTGTAGGGGCTGGCTATGGGTCAAGGGGAAGGTGTGTTCACCTGTGCCCCACAGGTCAGGTGCGGGTGTGTGGGAGCCAGCTCGGCGCTACAGGACTCATCCCTGCATCCTGCACCTTGAGGGCCAGGTGTGGGGATGTCCTGGGGGCTGGGAGAAGTGGGTGCAGCAGTGCCAAGGGAGGTGGCGGCCTCCGTGGGAGCCCCAACAGGGGTGACCAGTGTCTCCCTTGATGGCCCTCAGTGGCTTTGGGCACAGGGCCTGGTCAATGAACACTGCATTGGAAGGCCACTTGTGGGGGTCCCAATGATGTCATAGTCGATCCAGGTTGGGAGTCCCCCCCCACGTTGGCACTCACTCCTGCAGCCACTCTGCAACTCATGTGTTAACCTGGGGAGGTTAACACATGGGGAGGCCTGCTGGGTTCTCCAGGGTCGCAGAGAGCAGCAAGTGACCCTCAGAGAACCCCCTAATCTCAGTAGCCCTCATCACACCTTTGAGTCCCGGTAGCCCGCTCTGCAGACCTGCAGAGGAAGAGGCCTGGGACGTGTCCAGGCTGGAACCCCACTGCCAGGCCCCTGGTGTGGGACAGAGGGCTGCGTCTGTCTCCACGAGGTGCGCTTCCCAATGCCCTGGTGTGGGCCGTGTCCTTTTGAAGAATGAGAATGTTTCATTGAGCCTACGCCTGAATGCGGGAAGGCCACGGGATGGTCCTGAGACTGTGCCAAGGCGTGCCAGGACTCGGGTCCTTGAGGAGGAGCGAGGGCTCCGGGAACGGTGAGCTCCGAGCCTGCCAGAGCAATGAAGTGGAACTGAGTTCTGAAGGGCCGGGAGGAGCGAGGGTCGCCGGCCAAGGGGACTGCCTGCTAGTGTGTCCCCCGTTCCCCCCCCGTCATGGTCACAGCGCCGTGGGGTGAGGGAGCCAGGGGCGCTTGGGGCGGGCATGGGGGCGCGACACGGCCGGGCGCGGGGTCTCTCGGGGTCCAGGTCCAGCGGGCGCCCAGCTGGCTCCGGCCCCCTCCCCACGCGCCTTGGTTTCTCTGCTGGGAAACAAGCAGGGGCGCGGGCCCGCCTCAGGGGCGCCGCGCGTCCCCCCTGGCCGCCCCCCGGCCGCGTCCCCCCATGGCCGCCCCCCCGGCCGCGCCCCCGGAGGGGCGGAGCTTGCGCCAGTCCCGCCCCTCCGCCCTCGGCTCACCAGCCTGCGCGCCCCCGGCCCAGCTGCGGCGCGTGACGCGGGGCGCGCGGCTCCGGCGGCTACCGCGGGCGGGCGCAGGCGACGGGGACGGCGGGCTAGCGGGCGGCATGGCGGCGGCAGGGCTCGCGGCAGGGCCGACGGGGCCCGAGCCCATGCCAAGCTACGCGCAGCTGGTGCGGCGCGGCTGGGGCAGCGCGCTGGCGGCGGCGCGGGGCTGCACGGACTGCGGCTGGGGGCTGGCGCGCCGCGGCCTGGCCGAGAACGCGCACCTGGCGCCGCCCGAGCTGCTGCTGCTGGCCCTCGGCGCGCTGGGCTGGACCGCTCTGCGCTCCGCGGCCACCGCGCGCCTCTTTCGGGTCAGTGTGGCGGGGGGCCGGGACAAGGGGACCCTGGACTGGGGGAAGCCGGGACCAGGGATCTCGGGCCGCCGCGCGTCCCTTTCTCCCAGGGCTGGCTGCTGCGGATGAGGGGGTCGCCGGAACGTGGGTGGGGGCCTCGGGCTGGAGGGGCCCGGGATGTTGGAACTCCGGGACGGGGTCTCTCGGGCCGCCCCGTGCCCCTTTGAGTCAGTGCGGCGTGGGGGACCCGGGTTGATGCGGGGGTGTGGCCGGGCTGGGGTGAGTCTGGGACAAGGGGGCCCGAGACGGTGGGGCGTTTGAGACATGGGTCCAGGCACGAGCCTTTCCGGTCAGTTTGGGACCAGGGGGCCCGCGCGGTAGATGGCTTGGGCCACCGTGCTCCCTTTCCGCCAGTGCCGAGCCAGGGCGCCGAGAAGCCCAGGACCGGGACAGGGAGGGCACGGCGCACCACGGCCGCCTGTGCCTTTCGCCTCCTGGCTATGTAGGCTGGGCTCTGGCCAGCAGCAGGGTCCGCTGCCCGTTTTCTGCGGGGTCCCTGCTCGGCTTGCCCGCTGCAATCGGGAAGAGGCAGGAGCTGCTCGGTAGCTGCCTTGTGCCTGTCTGGGGTCAGCGCCACCCTCCGACCAGGGATGGCAAAGGCCTGGGCGCCTTGGCCACGCCAGTGGTCTCCGTCTTGACAATGACAAGGCCCGGGGCTTCAGAGTTGGACTGTGCTGCCTCCAAGAGGCGACAGCAGAATTCCCCAGTTTCTGCTGAGACCATCGCCTCTGCGGGAGACTGACCATGGTGGTGACATTGGCGCCTGACCCCACCCCCTTCCCTGGGGAGGGGTCGCTGTGGCAGGAGCTGGTGGCAAAGTGTTTGGGCCTTTAGCTTGGCTTGGACACCCCCATGGACCAGCTGGTGTCACCCCGCCCGTCTGGCTGGAGGGTGCAGGGACAGTGTGCCCTGGGCCAACAAAGGGGCCTTTCTCTGTTGGCCGGGAAGAGGCTGGCCCTTGTTAGGTCGAGGATGGGCTGTTGTCTGACTGCCACTCTCCCCACTCCTGTCCCCATATCACCCATATGGGGGGAGAGACCCCAGCCACCCCCCTACTGCGGGAGGGAATACAGGGCTGTCCAGGGCCCCTCCCTGGGTCCACAGTGGTCTTTATCCTGCTTGTTGCCCCTGCCTTCTTCCCAATTTCTAGCTGGGAAGCCCGAGGCCCAGGAGGGCAAGGCCCCCACCCCCCAACCCGGGGGCAGGAGGATGTGGCCACTCTTGGACTACCAGGGCGGAGCCAGGGGGCCATCCCCAGCCTGGGTGGGGTGCTCGCCCAAATTCCAGGCTCGCCCTTCTCCAGAAATGGGTGGAGGGGCTGCCGGGTGCTCCAAAGCTCATCTTCTTGGCAGCAGCCTGGTTGCCAGGGGTTACTGGAGCGGGCTCCAGCTGTCTCCATGACAACTACTGGGTGCTCTGGGCTCCGTCCCCCTCAGCTTCGGGGGAAGGGGGCGGGGCTTGACCGGGCTGCTCGAGCCCCGCCCCCAGGGAATTTGAGCGTCCCCCACTGCACTCCCCAACCCCAGCCTTGGAGCCGGCAGCTCCCTCTGCACTCCCGATACTCCCTGGGGCCTCAGCTCGCCTATGACACCCTTTCCGCGGTGTCCCCTCTTCCTCCAGCCCCTTCTCTCCTTTCATTGCCCCCGGGTTCCCATGTCCCCGCCATACCTTCCCTGCAGTCTCCCTCAGCCCTCTATTCTCTGGTCTCCCCAAATTCCCCCGCTGAGACGGCGACTTCCTCTCAAGTTCTTCTCTCTTCTGTATCGTTCCCATGAGGTTCCCTGTGTTCCCCAAAATGCTGGGTGCTCTGGGCTCCGGACCCCCTCAGCCTCTGTGAAGGGGGCGGGGCTTGTCCAGGGACAGGCAGCTCGAGCCCCGCCCCCAGGGAGCTTGAGCACCCCCGCCCCCGACACCGCACTCCCCAACCCCTTCCTTGCAGCCTGGCAGCTTCCTCTGCACCCTGGTTCGTGGAACCCCTCCTTGTTCCCTTCATGAGTCACCCCCAGCAGCCCAACTCCCCTAGGCTGACCCATCCATCTCTCTCCTTCGCCAGAAGCCCGAGTGTCGCCCTCCCGGCGGCCCCCAGAGCCCTCCTGTTCCCCTCCTCTCCCCTCGGGGTTTCCCCTCCGACTCCTCTTCCAGCGCTACCGCGGTGGACAGCTGGGCACTAAGTTTAGCCTTGGCAGGTGCCCATGGGCTCTGTTTACGCTCCAGGTGATCGTGGGCAAGGGGGACGGGCCTTCCAGTGTCGCCCCGCCTGGAGAGTCCCTGGACCACTCCAGGGACTTTACAGGCCAGAGTTTCCCCATCCTGGAGAAGCAGTCTCTGGTTTTCGGCACCAACGGTTGCCCGCCTGCCTTCTCCCTCATAGCCCCTAGCGAAGCGGTGCCGCCTCCAGCCCAGAGATGCCGCCAAGATGCCAGAGAGTGCTTGGAAGTTTCTCTTCTACCTGGGCAGCTGGAGCTACAGTGCCTACCTGCTTTTTGGCACCGACTACCCCTTCTTCCATGACCCACCCTCTGTCTTCTACGGTAGGGGCCCTGAGGGGATGGCAGGGAGGGCTCTGCTTAAAACACAAAGAAGCTAGGCAGTGACGGGTGCTTGTGGTCCCAGCTACTCAGGAGGCGCAGGTGGGAGGATCGCTGGAGCCCAGGAGCTGGAGGCTGCAGGGAGCTATGAGCACGCCATTGCACTGCAGCCTGGGCGACAGAGTGAGACCCTGTCTCTTATCAGAAAAGATAGAAGGGTGTAAGGGGACACTTATCAAAATCAGAGCTCCTATGGGTGTCTCAAAAGTTAAGCCTGACAAGGGTGATCCATGGGGACAGGAAAGGGGGTTATCTGGCCCTGTCAGAGCTCAGGAAAGAATCCTGGAGGAGGGACCCCTGTGTGGGCCCAGGCAGGCCTTCCAGGTGTGGGTAACAGCATGTGCAGAGGCCCGGAGGCACTCACATTGCATGGGGACAGGAGGAGGGTGACTGCAGAGAGCTGAGGCAGCAGTTGGAGTTCCATCCTGAATGTGATGTTTTTAAGCATGGCATGGAGAGGATTGGGTTTTGTGGATGATAAAATGCTTCCTCTGGCTGCCCGTGGAGGTGGGAGGTTCCCCGTGGCTTGTACAATCTTGGTGAGGAGGTAAAAATGATGAGGCCGTGTGCGGTGGCTCACACCTGTAATCCCAGCACTTTGGGAGGCTGAGGCAGGTGGATCACCTGAGGTCAGGAGTTCAAGACCAGCCTGGCCAACATGGTGAAACCTCGTCTCTACTAAAAATACAAAAATTAGTCAGGCCTGGTGGCATGTGCTTATAATCCCAGCTGTTGGGGAGGTTGAGGCAGGAGAATCACTTGAACCCAGGAGGCGGAGGTTGCAGTGAACCGAGATCGTGCCACTGCACTCCACCAGCCTGGGTGACAGGGCGAGACTCCATCTCTGGAAAAAAAAAATGGTGAGAAGTGGGCCAGTCATGGTGGCTCACTGGCTCACACCGGTAATCCCAACACTTTGGGAGGCAATGGTGGAAGGATCACTTGAGCCCAGGAGTTTAAGAGCAGCTGGGGCAACATGGTGAAACCCCATTTCCACAAAAAATTAGCCTGGTGTGGTGGTGCACGTCTGTAATCTCAGCTACTCGGGAGGCTGAGGTGGGAGAATCGCATGAACCTGGGAGGCGGAGGTTGCAGTGAGCCGAGATCGCGCCACTACACTCCAGCCTGGGCGACAGAGCGAGACCTTGTCTGAAAAAAAAAAAAAAAGATTGGATGTGGCTTGAGCTCTGAGTGGCTGGGCAGGAAGGTGACTGCAGTGCGCTGTGTGTGACCTGCCCTGGCAGAGAATGCAGGGCAGGGCCAACATTGCCACTGGGCAGGTTGGTGTAGGAGACGCCATCTGCACTGGGGCCGTGGGGGTGCAGCTTGTCTGCCCTGGGAGGACCACCACAATACACACGATAGGTGTTCCTTGCCGTGTGATGCCAACAGCCTAGAGGGCTCCTGGTGGCACTGAGCCCAGAGTGCTCAGTGGCGATGCCACTCATGAGGCCACTTTTCTCATGCCACGCACCTTGAATCCCTAGAGGGGAGGTGTTGGCAGTCGCTCAGTGTCCTTGTGATGCATGACCCATGACTGAATGCTCTGAACTTTTTGTTGTTGTTGGGTCAGAGTTCCACTCCTGTTGCCCAGGCTGGAGTGCACTGGAGCGATCTGAGCTCACCGCAGTCTCCACCTCCCAGGTTCAGGCAGTTCTCCTGCCTCAGCCTCCTGAGTAGCTGGGATTACAGGCATGCCCCACCACACCTGGCTAGTTTTATATTTTCAGTAGAGACAGGGTTTCTCCATGTTGGTTAGGCTGGTCTCCAACGCCCAACCTCAGGTGATCCGCCCACCTCAGCCTCCCAAAGTGCTTGGATTGCAGGTGTGAGCCACTGCGCCCGGCGCCTCTTAACATTTTGGGCATGTTGCCTCTAGTTTTTATTTTATTTTGTTTTTGAGACGGAGCCTTGCTGTCGCCCAGGCTACAGTGCAGTGGCGCCATCTCAGTTCACTGCAACCTCCGCCTTCCCGGGTTCAAGCAACTCTCATGCCTCAGCCTCCCGAGTAGCTCTGGGACTACCAGCGTGCGCCACCACGCCCGGCTAATCTTTGTAGTTTTAATAGAGATGGGGTTTCACTATCTTGGCAAGGCTGGTCTTCAACTCCTGACCTCATGATCTACCCACCTTGGCCTTCCAAAGTGCTGAGATTACAGGTGTGAGCCACCCCGCCCAGACTAGTTTCTTTTTTTCTTTTGAGACCGGGTCGTACTCTATTGCTGAGGCTGGGGTGCAGTGGGGTGCTCATGGCTCACTGCAGCCTCAACTTCCTGGGCTCAAGCAATCCTCCCACCTCAGCCTTCCAAGTAGCTGGGACCACAGTGTGCGCCACCGTGCCCAGCTAGTCTTTGTGTATTTTTCGTAGAGATGGAGCCCACGCTGTGGGCCGGGCTAGTCTCGAACTCCTGGCCTGGAGCAGTCCTCCCACCTCAGCTTCCCAGAGTGGTGGGATTGCAGGTGTGAGCCACTTCGCTCAGCTTCAGCTGCTTTCTGTAACTGATACTGACAAGTTAGCTGATTAGTTCCACGTGCGTTTATTGAGTGCCTATTGTATGCCACAGCTGAGACACAGCTAGGAGCCAGTCAGAGAAAGCCCTGTGCCCTCGTGAAGCTGACCATGTGGCAGGGGCACCAGTGAGGTACAGTCTATCAACAGCAGTAAGTGTCCATGAGAAAACCCGTGTGGAGAGAAGAGGCGGTGTGTGGTGTTGGGGAGGTGAGAGGGGCAGTTTTCTGCAGGGACAGGGCAGCCCCACTGAAGGGGACTGAGTGAGGGCCTGGAGGAGCCCGGGGCAGGCAGGAGAGGCAGGGACTGCTGTCCAGCTGAGTGGGGACCATGCCTTCCAGGCCTCGGAGGCCAGGGTCAGGGTTTGTCATTTACCTGTGGGCTGGGGCGGAGGAAGGACATCACCCTAGGTTGGGCACCTGCCCCAGGGGTCCAGGAGGGGGCTGACGGCAGGAGCTGGAGCCCATGAGCTGAGCGGAGGGGATGGGAGCACAGTGGCTCATTTGAGAAACGTTTAGAAGGCAGAGCTGATAGTATTTGCTGCCACCCTAGAGGTGATGTGAAAGAGAGCAAGAGGGTGGGGATGACGCCCGGGTCTTGTGAGACGGGGGCTGGTCAGGGGGACCAAGATTTTGGATTCAGGGCCGGGCGAGGTGGCTCACTCCTGGAATCCCAGCACTTTCAGAGGCCGAGGTGGGAGGATCACTAGAGCCCAGGTACCAGCCTGGGGAATATTGTGAGACGCTATCTCTACAAAAAATAAAAAATTAATAAATTAGTTGGATAAGGTGGTGCCGGCCTGTGGTCCCAGCTTCTCGGGAGGCTGAGGCAGGAGGATCGCTTGAGACTGGGAGGTCGAGGCTGCAGTGGGCCAAGATTACACCACTACACTCCAGCCTGGGCGACAGAGGGAGCCCATTTCTCAAAAAGAAAAAAAGGAGGGAGAGGAGATTTGAGACCTGAGCTGAGCCAGGACATCCCCCATCCTGGGGAGGTAAAGCTGCAGCGGGGGGGGGGTCCCTGTTTGAAAGGCGGGTGACAGATCCAGTGAGGTGGCCCTGGGCAAAAATCTGGCTCAGATGTTTTGGAGAGTCGGGACGGAGAGGATCAGGGCATTTTGGAGTTTCACCCAATTTTCATTGTAATTCTGGAAGAGGGTCCGGTGTGGTGACTCACACCTGTAATCTTAGCACTTTGGGAGGCTGAGGCAGGCAGATCACTTGAGGCTAGGAGTTTGAGACCAGCCTGGCCTGGCCTGGCCAACATAGTGAAACCCCGTCTGTACTAAAAACACAAAAATGAGCCGGCCGTGATGGTGGGTGCCTGTACTCCCAGCTACTGGAGAGGCTGAGGCAAGATAATTGCCTTAATCCAGGAGGCGGAGGCTGCAGTGACCTGAGATCCCCCCACTGCACTCCAGCCTAGGTGACAGAGCGAGACTGTCTCAAAAAAGAAAAGAAATTCCGGAAGACGGAATAGGGGAGGGTTTTTGTATTTTTTAGAGGCAGGGTCTCACTCTGTTGCCCAGGCTGGAGTGCAGTGGTGCGATCTCCACTCATTGCAACCTTTGCCTCCTGGGTTCAAGGGATTCTCTTGCCTCAGCCCCCCGAGTAGCTGGGATTACAGGCGTGAGCCACCTCGCCTGGCCTGCATTTTTTATTGATAAAAAGTATGTGAAATTAGGCATTTTAGCCAGTCACAAAAAGACAAATACTCTGTCACTCTACTTACATGAGGTTCCCAGAGTCATCCCACTTAGAGACAGAAAGTGGGATGGGGGGTGTGCCAGGGGCTGGGGAAGGGGAATGTGGAGAGACTATTTAACGGGGACAGTTTCAGTTGGGGACGAGAAGGTTCTGGAGATGGCTGCTGATGCTAGTTGCACAGCAATGTGTACTTAACAGACGGCTTTGATGGTAAATTTTTGCCACATAAATCTCACCACAATTTTTAAAAATTAACCATTTTATTTATGTATTTATTTTTCTTTGAGACAGAGTCTCTCTGTTGCCCAGGCAGGAGTACAATGGCGAGATTTCTGGCTCACGCCTGTGATCCCAGCACTTTGGGAGGCCGAGGCGGGTGGATCACCAGGTCAAGAGATCGAGACCCTCCTGGTCAACATGGTGAAACCCCGTCTCTACTAAAACTACAAAAAATTAGCTGGGCATGGTGGCGCGTGCCTGTA